TTCTGAGTGCTGGGATTAAAGTGTGTGCCACCAGGTCTGGCTTTCTAGATCTGGGAGATAGGAACTCTACAGTGGAAGACACTAGGAACACCAGGAACTCCAGGAAGGCAGTCTCTCAAGGTCAGTGCCTGGCCAGAGGTCTCCTTCCAGCCTGTCAAGCTTTCTCTGTGGCCCTGTTGGTATCCAGAGCAGAGCTCTTGATCTGGCCCCAGGCTAACAGTAAAAATGGCCAATTCCAACTAGAACAGAAAAATCTAAGTTCTCACTTGACACAGAGGAGCTGATTATCTTATAGCTCGACTTCTTACACCTGCTGCCCTAGAATTCCCGTGTATCCCACAAATTTGACTTCTTATTCAAAGAAGACCCCAGAGGAATGCCCCCTTCAGTCCTCTGCCTTTTCAGGGGTCCCACCCCCTTCCAGCTCCCCTTCTCCCATCATCCCATGTACTAATGTCAGGATCAGTGGGCCACCTTTTCCTTCTCCCTCCCTGCCTTCCCCCTACTTTCTTCCTTCCTTCCAGGTGGAATCCAGGAACTCACCTTTCTCCAGAATTCTTCATGTCAGGCGTATCAACATGGAGGATGAAGAGGTAGAAGCTCAGCATTGAGCAGGCAGGGGTGATAACCCTCACCCTTTGAGGATAACTTGTCTTCTGCTTTTAGGGAGTGACCCTTAGGAAAGGTCTTATTCTCCTACTGGACCCAGTATGGGGCAGGGAGATGGAATGCAGCTGCTGGCTCTGGGCTCAGCACCTCCTGCAGGAGACACTCAGTGGGGTCTGAGACTGGACATCTCACAGGATCAGCCAGGGGCAGGATTTGGATGACTTGCACCCCCACCCCTGGCCAGATGCAGAAGGAGACAGAGCTGGGCCAGCTGTCACCCTTTGGTGCTAATCACTCACCTGCCTGCTAAAGCTCACCCTGGCAGCTTCTGCTCCTGGGACCTGAAAGCAGTGTCAGGAGCGTCAGGTGCCAGGGTACCCTCTAAGCAGGATGTGTAAGACTGCCAAGACAGAGAAATATGAGCTCAGCACAGCTAGCTCGAGGAAGCGTTATCACTGGGACCCATAAGTGAGGAAGAGAACACTGACCGGAACCAGTCTTCCTGGGCCTGCATCTGGGCAAATCCTATGTAGAACTCATCCTTTCCTTTCTGGGCCCCTTCTTACAACTTGAAAGCCTTCCCGTTCTTAAACCCCTGTATACCTGAGAGCAAAAGCATCCACCTCCCACCCCCTGGTTATTTTCTCTCTCCTAGTCCAGTCCGTGGCGTGTTAATTGCTCTTCTCTGAAAGTCATCAAGGATTTATTTGCATCTCCTGGGTGCTGACAAAGGAGGACCACATTCAGCACCCGAGCAGTGAGCACTGGTGAGAGGGGCAGCCCAGAGTGTAGGCTGTCCTGCTGGCTTTCTGGGGCCGGAGTGGTCCAACCTGCAGCTCACTTGATTCTTCCTCCCCCGAAGGCCTACCTGGTTCAGTCTGCCTCTTTATAGGCCATTCGTGCTCCCTTACTACTGCTGCATATTGTAATCAAAGCCCCAGCTGGAGTGATAGATAGGAAGGTCAGCTAAGTGCCTCTCTCATGAGGAGCTACATCCAGGAAGCAGCAGATGTGAGGAGAGCAACACTGGCAGGGCCAGGCCCCCCACCAACCACCCTCAGCCTCGCATCCCCAAAAGTAGCAGAACCAGACCCTGTAGCTACCCTACTACCTCCTTCAGAATCAGCTGGAAAATGGCTCCTTACACATTGATGCTGTGCCCTCCTGGTCACCTCTGCCATGTGTCTTCGCTTCTAGCAGATTTTTTTTTTTTTTTGCAGAACAGGGGATTGAACTCAGGCCCTTGCGCTTGCCAGGGAAACTTATTCCACTGAGACATCTCCCCGGCCCCTTAGCAGATGTGTTTTATTTGAAAAGCTTCTCTGGGCTGGCCAGATAGCTCAGCAGACTAAAGCGCCTGCTAAGGTAGAGCGCAGCAGCCAGGTTTCAATCCCCAGCGTGTCTGCAGGCCCTGACTTTGGGGTGCGCTGAGATAGCCACTGAGATTGGGCATGGTGGCATGCACCTGTAATCCCAGCTCTTGGGAGGCTGAAAAACAGGAGAATCACTACAAGTCTGATCTACGCAGTGAGACCCTGTAGACCCTGTACTAAATATTTTAAAAAAGCTTCTCTCCTAAATTAAATCCCACCAGCAGCAACACAAAACACTCCCTAATAGCTCTGCTGGCCCCCTCCAAGGGGCACACATGCTGCTGGATCTCCGGTGCTGGCCTGAGCGCTTAGGGCTGGCACTGACTCCAATTCTTTTCCCCCTGGCCTCTTCAGACTTCATCCCTGTTGGCCTGTTATGCTTTAGCTTCTTCTTGCATCACAGAGTACCTTATTGCACCCCCCACCCCTGCATGTGGGAAGCTCTGATCAGCACTCACCTTTGGCGTGCGTGGAGCTTTTCCACAGCCTGCCCATCTTCTGGTTCTTAGGGCCCAATGCCAGGTCAGAGAATTTCAGTTCTGAAGGCCAGAAAACATCTTTGCCATTCCAACTCCTGAGGTCTGGGTCATGTGCAGCACCTTTGTATTAAGACTGGCTTCGTGCAACCTGCCACTTCTTGTTCCAATTCCTGTATACTTGCTTTCCTAGGCAGACCTCTGAGCTTTCTGTCAGCCAGCCTTCTTTTAAGTTCCTAGCTCTCAAGAGTTGGTGCCCCAAGTCAGGAGTGGTGGCAAAACCCCCAAACTCAGCTCAGTCAGGCCCACTATAACGGGGATAATTTGCTCTTTACCTGTGGTTTCAGGTTAAGACTTGGTAATACACAGTATCATCTTTCTCTGAAGAACTTATTTTTCTTGGCTGACAACATCCAAAAAAGCCTTCCACATGGTATCTACAATCAAAGAGCAACACCAACACACACACACACACACACACACACACACACACACACTTTTTGGAGACAGGGGGTCTCACCATGTTGCTAGGATGGGCTCAAGCCATCTTCCTATCTCAGCCTCCTGGTGGCTGGGACATTGTGCTTGGCTATTTTATATACAACTTATACTGTAGGCATGTCTGTTTGATCCTCTGAAATGTGCTGAGATAGGTACTCTTTCCCTATAAGAGTTTGAGGCTCTGAGTCCTTTTTTAAATTTTAAGATGAGTTCTTGCTAAGTCACAAAGTTGCTTGAATTTTGCAATCTCCCTATTTCCTAGAGTGCTGGGATTACAAGGGTGCCCACCTACTGCTGGTGCACATTTAAGTATGCTAGTGTTCAGGTTGTTACACAATTTCTCCCCTCCCCCACAGCAGTTATGCATCCTAGATAAGAGGTCTGCGGGTTCTCTCCACACCATTTTTGCATTTGCATCAACTTCCATTGTAAATTGGGGCTATACTTGGATTCTGGTTGGAGAAGCCTGAGTGACCAGGTGTTTTAGTGGCTAATCATAATGCATGCGGAACACTATCACATAGATCCAGGATGCTGCTGAGCCCATCTACTACTGCATTCTTCCTAACTTCTTTACCCCAACTTCCCCAGATCACAAGAACTTCATGCCTGAGGGTACCCACACTCTGTGGGTACCCAGGCACTTATAGTGTTTCATTGTTTTTCCTACCTTTGGTGGAACACTAGCAGAGGTAAAGACCTGAAGCCAGCAGTCTGCACTTCAGCTGTATTAGTCCATGGGCCCATGGCTTTGGGGTCACAAATGAGCCATTTCCCAGTGGAATCTGGACTGGATATACCATTTCCTTTCTTTTGTACCAGGGACTGAACTCAGGACCTTGCGCTTACCAGGCAGACACTTATACCACTGAGCTATCTCCCCCTTTCAACACAAGCTTTCAGGGCCCTTCTGCACAGCCCAGTGAACCCCACTGGGAACCGAAGGGAGCAACTCCTGCTTGGCCATGGCTACATTAGCGCAGGGTACCCTAAAAGTCATCTTTGCCTGGAAGTCTCCCTCCTGAGCAGGGCACCAACTCTGTACTAATGACCATTAGGGTGCAGATGGTAAGATTTTGCTTCTCATTTACACTTCCATGTAAAAAGCACTAGTTTTCTGGTAGTCAGGACCTCATGCCTGCCAGACAGGTGTTTTGCACTGAGCTATACAGCTGGCCCAGCACTAGTTTGTTTTTTTTGCGTGACCGGCTCAGCCCACCTGAGGTCCCTAAGTATGTCCCTAAGCAGGAGCTTTAGACCATTGAGCTATCTCACCAGCCCAGCACTAATTTAATTAAAAAATTAAAAGCACTTTTAAATTGATTTGAATTTGCGTCATTTCATTCCATTATGGCTACTCAATGGACCAATGAGCACTAACTGGAATGTCCCACTGAAAAGAACCATGCAATTTGTTCAAGCCACTGCCCTGCTGCTGGGGGCAAGTCCAGGACTTACCTGTTACACAGCCTCTGCAGGCCATGTGGTAAGGATGGTCTTCCTCTGGAAATACCTGCTTTCCTGATAAGAATTCCAGTTGGCAGAATTTGGGTAACTGCAGTAAGCAGTTTTACTGTACATAGGCAGTGCATATGAATTTTTTCTCCTTAAAAGAAAGTAAATGCATACCTAAGGCAAGTCAGGAAAAGCAATCTGGACTCATCAGAGAACATTTTGTGGACAGCTCTTCTTTCACTTTACAGCAATGCTCCTGAAATTACATCTATTCAAAGTGTCAGTTCTAGGGACTCGGATCTCCTGGGTCTCTATAAGCCTGGGAACAGAGACCAAGTCCAGATACAACCTCCCTGGCCTACATTTTGTCAGATTTGGCCTTTGTCCCAATACCTAGAAGAGACAATGACCATGTCAAAAATGTAGTATGTCTTCTAGTCTTCAATGTGACTTTGAATCAAGCTTCCACTTGGGCAAGAATTAAAATAAGAAAGAAAGGTGCAAGGGTGGCTAAGCAACCAAGTCTTCCCTGGAAGAGAAGAGGAAGACGGAAGAAGTGTGTAACAGGTTTATTTGCATATACACAAGAGAAGAGTTACGTGGTCACTGGGTGAGAAGAGGCCGGGCTGTGAGGAGGTAAGGCTTCAGCAGAGGAAGGCACCTTGATAGACAAGAGACTCTCGGCTTATTCAATCAAGCACAGTTGCAAACTTCATTTGTCCCACGCCAACTCACTTAGCTCATTTACCTATTGTCCTCAGAACTCATTTACAAAACCAGGTGGGAACTAAAGTGGAGAGAAAGAGTTTTACATACCTGGACCTGCCACTTACATCTGTGTGCATGGGATACAGATGAAAACACAATAGGCACTTTCAAACTGACCTTAGTCTAAGCAGTGCCATCCGTCTTTCTAGGGAAAATATCTGCCACAAAGAACTTGGGGATTAAACATACCTCCAAAGTTGGGGTCTCAATTCACAGTGGTTTAGATGAAAGGACTAGAGCAGGTCCGGTTTCCAGGACCACAAACACACAGAGATCTCTGGTGGGGGAGGACAGAGTAGCTATAGAGCATCTGTTTCCTAGCCTCCTCTGGGGAGTATTTCATGGGGCCTCTCTCCTGCTGAGCTGAACCTGTGGTAAAGGAGAGAAAAGTCTCTCCTCAAGAATGGAAGGCATCCTCATAAAAATCTTTCTTGGCTTCTAATGTTAACCAAAGCAGGGAGCTTTGACTTCTCTTTTCAGGATGCAAATGAGATAAACACTTTTAATATGAAACACTAAGCTCAGCATTTGGAAACTACCTACCAATAGCTAGTTCCCAAGGCAATGTTACTTATTCCCTAGGAAGATATGTGGATTGTCTTTAGAGAAGTCAGAAGAAGCTACCTGCTGATTAAATGAACCTAAAATAAAAAGACTGGGTATGCTAAGAAGGGGAAGAGAAACACACACTGAATGGTTGCATCTTTTTTGTATATAAAGGATTACAAAATTCCAATTTAATACATTTTGGAAAAGCAAATGTAAAATAACTTGGGCTTATAAAACCAGAATTTACAATTATCTGTGAATAGTTAAAGACAAATCATAGAACCATTTTAATTACAAATCCAAAGTAATTCTAGTATTGGTTACAGAAATCACTGTTCCGCTCCCTCAGTGAGAGTCCAGGTGTTGAACTGTACACATCTCACTCCGCTCTTACTCCCTCACACCTCCTCCTCCCCAGCAGCGCTCTCGCATGTGGCCCATCACACATACTTCAGGCTCGCCCTCTCTTCTGCACCGCTGAGCAGGATGGCAGCTCCTTCTGGCTTACGCCCACCCTGGCCTTTTATGTGAACTCCCTCCCCCAGTGTCTGACTTGAGACTTCAGCCTCCACAGGTTGTCTGCCCTTGGTCCCAGTTCCAGTAGGACAGGTCCTTATCTAAAAGGCCACACACATGAGCCTCACATTAGCTCTTTTGTGCCAACCCCAGCTGGGCTTCTCATTGCCTAATACCTTTGCATTCAAGAAAAGCATATTGTTCTCTCTCTCTCCATCTCTTGCCAGTATTCTGCCTTTCTTGATGTCTGTGCCAATAAGACACTCGACCATTCTTACTAGGTCTTCCTGTCTTGCATGCCCTGCATTGGTAGCTGAGTAACTGTAACAACCACCACTGAAATGCTGAAAGCCTTTTTTGACCCTTCATTCTCTGAAACATTCCCTATCTCAACAGAACTGAATTTCCTTTGACAGCCAGGAGTTAAGCCAAAGACTCTTCTCCCCAGCCCCTCTGCCTCTTTCTCACCAGACCTACTCAACAAGAATCTGTCCCTTTAAGAGATGCCTAACAGCACAGCCGCTACTACCTGCAGCCTGAGGGAAGACACCAGTTGCTCAACTTTGGGTTGAGATAAAAGCATGTAGTCCTCAGCCTGGTCTTCACCACACTTCAGTAACACACCTCTAACAGCCACGGTGGTAGTCTGGACAGAGTTCTGGAGAGCTGTTTCCTCCCACCTCAATGTGCCCTGTCTCCATCAAATGTAGCCAAGGAAGCCCTTGGCCTCAAGTCTCTTCAGAACTAGCGCCTAACTGGTTAAAGTGTGTTATCCAGGACTAGTTATAATCTGGGACATATTACGCGCTGCTCAATTCACAAACAATGAAATTCTCCAGGGATCCACATGTTCTCAAATCTAAGTGCTGGCCTCTTAGATAGGAAATGCCTCACTTTTACTATCTCCATGTTATAGCCTCAATGAAGAAGCACTACTGAGAGAAAACATGGAAGGTTAAGAAAAGAACTATGGTTCCCGTTCCAGCAGAGCTGCTGTCCGAAGGCCCCTTCTGCTCTCCGGGTATAACCTACAACAGCCGCACAATCTCATCTACTGGGCACTCCTCCTCAAGACCTGAACACCGTGATGTGTGAACAGGGTGAGATGGCAAAAACTACAGGCCCATGCACGGGTCCTTGCTGATGGACAACCACCAGAAGTCTCACGAGACAGAGAGCACCCAAGTGCCAGTGCATGCACTCACAGGAGCCAGAGTCCAATGTCTTAACAAAGACTTTTAGTGACCCTTGCCCAGGTGCACTGTGCGCTTGTCTCACTAGAATGGAGTTGCTTGGCCCTTGGCCCTTTCCCCTTTCTTAACACAACACAGATCAATGGCCAGCTAGACATTCAGACCCACGGTTGAATATTGAATGGAAGGGAGCAGCAGCAGACACAAAATTTCAGGCCCTGGTTTTATGTGCCTTTAATACTTTTTTCCTTTCTGCTGTATTCACTAAACAAGAATATTTTTTCTAAAGCTACTTTTTGTAGCTTTTGGGTTTCCCTTTGTGTTTATCATGTTTTCAGTTTCTTCTCTGAGGAGCAATTCTCTGAATCCGTGTCTTCTAACTCAACTCGGTGCCTTTTGAGGCCACTGTGGCCATGAATGGCCCTGCTGCTGTCTGTGGCTGGGGTGTCAGTGGGGTTCTCTCTTGCTCCAGCACTGGGGGTCTCACAGGCCATTTCGGACCCACAACAGTCTTTTTGTACAAGAGTCCCCGAGTTATCATGGTCAGTGTCCGGATGTCCTGGGGAGGAACAGGCTACTGCCTCTAGCTCCCCAAAGTTCTGCCCATTGTTATGCAGGTGCGGGGGCCGAGGGTGTAGGCGTCCATTGTTGTGGTTGGCACAGATGGTTTCTACACTTCTCTCCTCACTGTCATCAGACTGGGTCCTAGAGCAGTTGCCAGAGCCACTGCTAAGAGTGGAGCCCGATGCCTTGGGCACCGGAGAAGAAGGAGGCTCTTCAGCTCGGCTGCTCAGGGCCTTACTCAGGGCCTTTCCATTGAGCTTCTTTGTTTCAAAAGAATATTCTACTGAGCCCCCACTGTTAACATCCTGAGAGGTGCCCTCTGGTGCCTCTGCCCGAGGGTGGCTGCTGTGCTCATGGCCTGGGCCATGGCTGGGACTTCTAGTGGCAGTCCCTTCTTTACACACATCTTTGCTGCAGCCTTCTGGGGGCAGGTCCTGGTTCCTCTGGGCAGAGGCTGCGCTCAGAGAGGTTTCTTTACTAGAAGAAGGGGCAGCATTGTCCTTGTGGCTGGTTCCTGCTCTCCCTTCATCCACATCCCCTGCCACTCGAGAAGTCTCTCCATCTTTGTTATTAGAGTAGGAGATGTAGGAGTAACGGAGCCATTTGTAAGCTTTATAAATCTTTCGCTCAACTGACTCTATGTCCGAGGTTGGTGACGCTCGGCTGGGCTGAATCTCCAGGGCAGAAGTGCTCCGCTCTGGGGAGGAGGTTGGAGAGGAGGAGAGATCATCTACTCTGATCTGTGGGTAGTCGCAGTTGTCTTCACCAATGTAGGTGCTGGCAGGCTTGGTGGGTGCACTAGGCCGCTCCTCACGGAGCGACTTCTGCCTCCTCCGAGCGGCATTCCGCTGCCGGGTGGAGGCTCGGCGTTCATTCAGCTCCTCCTCATCCTCTGAGCTGCTGGAGCTGCTGGAACTGCTGGACTCCTCCTCAGGGCTTGGCGAACGGGGCCGGGGGAAGAGGTCTGTGTCCAGCTCGACTTCACAGGCGTTCTCCTCTGAATCTGACTCATTGGACAGGGCCAGGAGGCGTTTGTCCTGGTAACGTCGCAGAGCTGAGAGGCGCTGCTGGCGAGAGGCTGTGTCCTCACAGGTGGGCGCAGGTGGGGCAGATGCCACTGCGGGTGTAGCAGTGACCCGTAGAGGGCCCAGGTGGAAGGCGCTGTCGGTGGACTCGTCCACAGTGGGAGGCGGGGAGTGGGGCAGTGAGGCTGAGGACTCTGAGTCAGTGTAGCCTGAGCGCTCGCTGACTCCTGCATGCAGCTGGAGGATGGTGCTTTCGCTGAGGTCACTGTCTGAGTCCGAACTCCACCCCTCGATCTCCCGGCGGACCAGGGAGTCAAAGAAGGCCATCATTCGAGGGTCCTCCTGGACGGACTGGTTGGCGTAGTCATGGGATAGGCCACTCCCGCTATTCAGCACCAGGCTGATGTACTCTTCATGGGTATAGAGGCAACGGGAATCATCCTCAATGCGGCCATCAAGGTCTCCGGTACATCCCGGCTGCTTATATGGGCTCCAGATCTGCACAAATGGAGACAAAACAACCAGAACTGACTAGTAAGAACTCTACAGCTGATGGTAATAAAGCACACTATGGCAGGGTTTCCCCAGGGTCTCACCATCTTTATATTTTCTAGCTGCTGGTGGTGGTGGGAGTAGACCTGTGCAATGCCAGCACTCTGGAGGCTGAGGCAGGAGAATCACAAATTTCAGCTTAGTCTGGGCTGCAGAGTGAAACCTTGTCTCACCCCCTCCCCCCAAAAAATAAAAACACAAAACTTTATTAGACTTGATAAAGTGAGTTGCATATGAAAGTAGGTTTCCAGAGTAAGATGTGAGAAAAACCCTAGTCTGGAAGAGAAGAGTAATCTCCTGTTAAGAGACCTCGATGTCAGTCTCTATGGCCAGGATAATCACACCTTATCTTTCTCACAATCTCCTCCCCTTCAGTTTCCTCTGTTAGTAGCTTACAAACTATAATTTTAGTCTCAAGAGGATAAAGGATGCCTTTCTGAGTGTTGGTCTGAGGTTGGTTGAAAACTTTCAGAAGGTTCAAACTGTGCCAGGGAGGCACCAGTTCTAAGTGTATGTAAGGCCAGCAGCGAGTGCTCTTATGACAGTATTTTAGCCTGGAGCGCCACTTCTCTCCAATTCCAACATTTCTGTTTTTAACTGAAGGGAATTGCTGTTTTTAACTGAAGAATAGCTGGCTGTCTACACTGCAGCTCCCTCTGATATACGCAGGCACCAGTTACCCATAAGAGTGGGTTCTTTAACCAGGGACCTGTGCTGGTTTATTCCCCAACTTTTCTCTTAGCTACAGAAATAGGTAAAGCACACCCCTCTTAGAGGGGGGACTGCAGCCCCATCCTCTGACACTCCTGTGTTCCCTAGTTAGGCACATGGTTCGTAGTGAAAAGGGGGCAAAACTAGGATTCCAACTCAGGTCTTTCTGATTCAAAGGCCCAACTTTACACGTTGGATAAATTATGCAAAAATCAAGATCATGGTAATTAAGCTGCCACTGCAAAGGAGAATGATTAGTTCTACCTGACTGCTAGAATGGTCCACAGAGAAGCTCAGTTACCTCAGCATGTAGTCATGGCAACTCAATGACATTCCAGGCAACTTTCTTGCCTGACAGACTGGTGTCTATCTTTAGATGGCATCAGACCCAGACAGCAGTGGCCCCTCATTTCTCATCCTCCATAAACCAAAGTTTTTGTTTCTCCAAAGATATCTGAGTACAATTTACCTTCTTGCGGGAACTTCCCTGAGGCTCATTCCTGCTATCATGTTTTCTTGGTACTGGGAACTGAACTCACAACTGATGCTTGCTGGGCAGGTGTTGTGTTGTTGAGCTATCTCCTTGGCCCCTCTTGCTATGACTTCCTTGGCAACTGCTGGGTGATTGTCTCTTTGGAGGACTCCCAGCTCAAAGAGGGCTGAAGAAACCTAGAGTTGTTTCTCCTACCAGTTCCCAACTCTTTTGTTCCCAGTTCCCAAATCCTTGGCTGTTCTCTCCCCTCTTTTTTTTTTTTT